GAGAGGTGGCGTAACCCTTTCACCTACACCCGAAATAACCTGTGCCGAGGTTTTGAACATGCGGATAGTCGGGAATCCTGACTGCGTTTCAAGGTCTGTGCGGTTGGCTTTGCCCTGCTGCCTTGCTCCTTGGTCTTGTCAGGAGTCCTAAATGATTTTCTTTGCTTTTGTTCTCCAAGTACAAAGTCTAAAGTGCAAAGTTGTCATGCAAGCAGATACGCTGTGTACTTATATTCCCACCAGCTAGTATAATATTAAGTTTGTTCTAAGATATGTTTACTTCTTGCCTGAAACGTGTGTCTTGGGATTTTTGTTTTGTTCTGTCTGTAGCAATGGCTTCAGGAACAGCGCTGATCTATGATGAGGAGATGACTACTCACAAACTACTTTGGAGTGAGTAAGTCACTGCTGTAGTTTTTATGAACAGATTCTTATTAGGACTTCTGAGAGAAGTGCCAAACAAATGCAGTTTTTGTAAATGTAATAGGAAATACCTAATGACAGATACCATGTCATTCTCCTAGTAAATACAAAGTCTTTCCTTTTGGAGAAGAAAAAAATTTTTATTTCCAATTTGTATCCAGATGCCGTAATGATAATCTGAAGCTGAATTTGAGAAGCTGTAGGCCTCCAGTCTGGTAGGCCTTAACAACAAGTGTTAGCTTGAGGCATCTGAGTAGCCCCCTAAATAAAGTATTTGGAGCTAATTAAACTGTTTAGAAAGCGAAAGTATCATTGATCTTTGGAAAAATATGTAGGTATACTCACTCAGCTGAAACGCATCGATTAAATTCAGTTAGAAATTGGTATATGCCACTTACATAAATTAGACCAGTACCTTTGCAGTGCTCAGAGTAACTGTTGTCTTCTCTCCCAAACCAAACCTTCCTCTGTTCACCTTCACTGTAATCTACAGCTTTTCATTTCAGCATTCCTGTGTCTGTAGTTAAGCATTGCTACTTTCAGTGGTGAGAGAGGAAACAAAAAAATGATGCTATTGTGTTTCTTTTTTATTTAAGAACCAGGAATGTTTTTCTGCCTGCGTATTTTAGAACCAACTTTTGGCTCAATTCCAAAACAAAAAGTATTTCAAGATTTTCGTTTTCTTTTACTCTCGCATGTCCCTCTATGAGTGTAATGAATCTTCTTACAATGGGAAGTTAAAAGCTAGGCATTATGAAGCGTATTTGTTAGCTGTGCTGGTATGGTATTATACTAATATGATTATTGCTTATTTTTAGTCCTGTTTGTGATATTGAAGTGCCAGAAAGACTTTCATCCTCCTATGAGCAGCTTAAACGTTACCAGCTTGTGGAAAGATGTGTCCATGTGCCTGCCAGAGAAGGAAGCGAGGAGGAGATCCTGTTGGTTCACAGGTCTGAAACTTACTTTCATCACCGTTCAGATTAATTCAATGAAATAACAGATCTCATACCTCCAGGTCATATTTTGCTCTATTTGAAAAGGTCTGCTCCAAAACTCAGTGACTTCCAGTAATTTCAATGGAAAATGTGTCACACTTAGATGAATAATGTTGAGTACGGTGTAGGTGCTGAAGTATGACTCTGCTATTCCACTAAATCCCCATTCTCGCTCTTTGGGTTCTTAAGCAATGAATGCTGATTTATACATAGGATTAAAAGTAAACTTCTAATAAGAATTGGGACAAGGCTTTAAAAAGTGTAGAAAAATGGGTAATTCTTTAGAAAGATAATAGCCTCCTCTTTCTCCCAAGCATCTTTGAGACAGAGTGAATGAAACAGAAAAACTTCGCAGCTAATTTGGGGCAGGATGGGGGGAGTTTAGAGGAATAGCAGCCTGCCAGTTCTGAATTCATGGCAGTGAAGTCTGCTCTGGCATTGGTCACCTCAGTGTGATGAATCTGCAACCAACTGCGGGTGATTCTGCATGTGGCTTGTGCGCTCATTTGCCCTTGTCAGGGAGTGGCAAGGGCAGCCTTCTCTGAAGGGCCAGGGGAGTTGGGAGCAGAGCATGATGACAAAGCAGCCAGAAGCAGTGGCTTCATGGACAAGGGCACAATTCCACAATGCCCAAGCGAGGCGAGCAGCATGGGTCCAGTGATGGTAACCGGATTCAGCCATGAGTTTAGATTGCCCAACAAGGCCGTAGTGACATGGCAGGTCTGAGGTCAAGCTGGAGAGCCAATCCACGGGTCAGGGTCCAGGTCCAGGTTAGCGGGTTCATGGCCGCACACAGACATGGCTATACAACACAGCTGCAATGTAGCCAAGGGCGAGAGCCTTATCTTAAAAGCAAGTGCCAAGGGAAGGAGGGGGAGCCTCTGCTGAGACTTCTTAGCAGACCTGTTTGGAGGGAGCCTCTGCTGAGGTTCCTTCTAGCTCTCTCTTTCAAGGTGACCAGCTGTACTACCTCTGCTGCTTCTGAACCCAGCAGCCAAACCCAGGAGGGAAGGGATGCACCCAGGGCTCTGACAGCTGTGATGAGGACCGTAGCTTGAGCCCAAGTCACGCTTAAATTTTCAGATCCCAGAAGAGTATTTTTCCTAAGAACATACTTGCTTGTTAGAATGCAATTAGTGCTGTGTACCAATATAATTTATTTTCATCTTAAATACATTGCTGATTGGGTACAGAAAAGGCTTGATCACTATTTCCAGTTGAGTTGCTCCTGCTAGATGACTGGGCACAAATCACTTCACTAGGTCTTGTCTTGGTTTCCATAGGTAAGCTAGAGAAAATAGAGCTCTTTCATTTCTAAAAAACGTATAACAAATTTATAACTCCTATGAAAATGGTTTGTTTGTGTTCACAGTTACAAGACTGCTGCTGAAGTTAAACTAGTAATTATACACCATTCAGGTTCATACGGTTTTATTCCTGTTAATGCCTTCATTTTGAAGCCACTGTTTAGCTTTATTTTCATTAGGCAGCACTAATGTGTCTCATTTTGTTGTGAAGTTCTGGTTGCTTTAGCATTGTCTGCCTAGAGGACGCAGATGGGAGAGTAGATGCCATCAGCTTCCACTTCCAGCTTGCTATACAAGGGCAGCAGAGCGGTGACAGAGAATTGGGGGAACGTTGATGCTTGTGTCTTAGTATTTATTGCACTCTTGAACCAGTGAAAAGAGGGAGTTAGTACACACCTGATAAGGGATTCATTCAAATACTTGTTTTCCACAGAATAAGGGAGGACTAGACGCCCATTCTCAGAGTTATAATTCACACTCTGATGACTGTCAGGATCCTAGTTTAGTTCTTGTTGGGATGGTATCTATATGTAGCATGGATTACAAAGTAATGATGAACAAAGGGCCTTTTTTTGAAAGCAAGACTAATTGCTCTTACCACTGGGAAAAGGAAAAGAATGTCATATTCTTAAGACATCCAAGAACCCTTGCTTTCATAGTGCTCTTTTTTTTTTTTTTCACTGTATCCTGCAACTAACTTTCCAGAGTACCTATTGGACTATCACAGAAAGCTCCTTTTAACATATATTGTTACTTTTAATTACATTTTGCATTAAAAAAACCCTTTATAGTTGCTTAGTTAAGTGTTGTGTTCATCTCTCTCTCCTCTGCAGTTCAGAACACTTGGAAGTGGCAAAAAGCACCCAGACAATGAATGAAGAGGAACTGAAAAGAGTCTCTGGAAATTATGATGCTTTTTTCTTTCATCCGGTGTGTAAGTTAAACTGCTTCCTCTATTGGGAGTTACAAGTATTTGTGTTATTCCATCTGAGTGGCACTTTTCTAAGTAGGGGAAAATTGGCAATACATTTTTTTGCTATTTAAGTAGACTTGCATGTATTTATGGTATTATTATTATCTGTTTCAAGTTCAGTATAAGGCTGTAATTTAAACTGGTTAAGTGTCCTGTCGTCTATTCTGTAATTGTATCATGCCAGTGTAGTGCACTACTCAGATTTTGGCTCTATTTTTATCACTTCATGTCACTGTAGACCATTAGTGACCTGCAAATCACGTTTTGGTAATAGTTGCTCTTAAATGTTGTGCCGGATAATGGAGGTGAAATCTTCTGTGTTTTGTTTCTGTAAGGTTTCATTCTTTATTTTCCAAGATGCTGTGTTATTCCACTAGTCAGTTCAATATGTCCATCTCATGTTTCTTAACTGCTCCAGAGAGAACATCCTTATAAATATGGTGATTACAGGTAAAGCTAGTAGAAAGCACATTGGAGACTGTGTTGTAAAATTCTACTTTTAGCCATCTGCATACAGCCTCAGTTGGGTAGAATTATGTCAAGACAATTTGCTGTTGGTGCAAAAGTGTCATGTGTGATTAGTTTAAAAGAAGCAGATGAGTGAGTGATGACAACTGTGAGTTTCTCTTTTTCAGAACACTTACCGCTGTGCCAGACTAGCAGTAGGAGCAACTTTGCAGCTGGTGGATGCTGTGATGTCAGGAGAAGTGTGCAATGGAATGGCTTTAGTGAGGTAAGAAAATATGTGAAAAAAGTTTTCACTTCTTACCAAAATTTCTTTTGTTGTGAGTAACCATATAAAACTTTGTTTTAGACCTCCAGGTCACCACAGCCAGAGAAATGCAGCTAATGGGTTCTGTTTGTTCAACAATGTTGCTATTGCAGCAGAATATGCAAAACTGAAATATGGTCTACAGAGGTAAGTGTGTAGTTGACTCTAGAGAAGCTTTTCATACCGAAGTATGGCTTTAGATAACAGTTTGACATTGTACTGGTTTAGATTAATGTCTAGAGCTTTCAGGGTGTCCTGTACCTTTTGGATTGGAAAAGCATTATTCTGATCAAGATGCTCTGGTTCTTCTGCTGAATGTTTTCTTTTACTGATCTATGCAGAATCCTAATTGTTGACTGGGATGTGCACCACGGGCAAGGAACTCAATATATATTTGAAGAGGATCCAAGGTTTGAAGGATTTTTATTTTTTTTTTTTTTTAAATGTTAGCTGGTTAAAGATTGCTTGCCTCTGTAGAGAGTAAGATTTCTTAAATTTCTAAAACTAGAATCTTACAAAACATTCTTCTTGCTATTTTTGTCACTGTTTTTTACTTGTTATACAGTAGAGGGGAAAATTAACAAAAAAAGAGAAATATGTAAATCTGTTCTACTTTAAAGAATAACAAACACAAAATGAGCGATATGATTACTTTGGTTTGCCAGTAGCAAGATCTCTTCGTGCCAGTATTCAGGTAATACATCTATTCTCTGTATTCACAAATTTCTCGGTTAAAGTATTCAAGTAGTAGTTGGCTAAAATACATGAGCTTTATATTGTTTTTGGAAAAACCACAGAAGTAGGTTCTAGAAACAAGTCTGCTCTTCTGAAAAATGCCCTGTCTGTGGTCTGAATGGAGTGCATGCATACAATAAATTTTTAGCAGGTTAATTTTTAGGTTAATTTTGGCATAGGACCTACTGTACCATGTTTCACAGTCCAAGTCCATTAAGAGAACTGAGGAGAAAGGACAATTCTATTTTCTTGCTTTCAGTCAATACAGTCACCAGGTTCAGGATATAAAGTCAGTTTGGGAATCTTTTTGTCCAGTTGGATTTGGGTTTTGTATCTTTCAGTGTTCTGTATTTTTCCTGGCATCGCTATGAACATCAGGAATTCTGGCCGTCACTCAGAGAATCTGAATATGATGCTGTGGGTCTGGGAAAAGGAGAAGGTTTTAACATAAATTTGCCTTGGAATAAGGTAAATGTTGTTTACAGCACAACAAAGCAAGTGCAATAGCTTTGTATCTCATGCTTTACGTAACACTTTCAGAGAAGTGCACTGCTTCAGTTGTTTGGCACGTGTCTTAGCACAGTGCACATCTTTCTCATCAGTGGAATGTCTGCTGAAAAATATGGCTCAGAATGTGATAATGTTTAAAAAAAAAAAAAAAGAGGGAGAGAAAAACACACACGTCTGGGTTTTTTCTTGAATATCTTGCCTAGCCATCAAATTAGAAAGTGTTTCAGGAGATTATTCCATCCATCCTTGTTCAACAGAGAACTAAAGCTCATACTTTAGACTAAAAATGGTGGATATTTATGCACTTCTCTTAAACAGAGTTTGTTTTACTTGACCTCATAAGGGAACCTTATCTTTAACTTTTGATACTATCTGTCTTGAAGAACCTTAAAAAATTTGTTATTCTAACAGGAAAGTATGACCTATATTTCTCATATTTTACAGGTTGGGATGGGAAATTCAGATTATCTTGCTGCATTTTTCCATGTGTTGCTTCCGATGTCTTTTGAGGTAATTTTTTACTGCTCTGCTATTTGAATGGTGAAACCAAAGGCTACTTCCTAAGTACTTCTTAAGCAGGTGCCATTGAGTATTTTGTAGAAATGCAGTAATTGCCAGTAGCACAATTAACACATTATTTTTGCTGGTGTGACTGATGTCCTGGTCAACTGAGTAGTATTTATGGAATGTTAGCTTTTAAATGTTCAGTATAATGATCTGCAACTTCTCCAGCAAAAAAGTAGCTTAAAAGGATAATTTTAGTTTTTTTTCAAGGAGAGTCTTTTTTTGTGTTCATATTCTAGCTGAAATAACAGCTGAATATGGTACAGTTGAAGTCCAGTGTAAAATTGAAAATAGGACATAAGAATGTGCTACAACTCTCTCTGTTTTATAACAGTTTGATCCTGAACTGGTTATTGTCTCTTCTGGATATGATTCTGGAATTGGAGACCCTGAAGTAAGTAACCTGTGACCTTTGTGTTGCCAGTCATGAATCTGTTCACAAAATATTCCTACCTCTTAAATGTCCTGTGATTGCTAGGTGAAATTCACTTTCACCAAGCTAAAAATATGTATTTGAGTCTTTAAGCCACCCCCAGCTCATTAAATACTACAATGAGATATGTAAAGACAGATTATTCTGTAATTACTGTATTGTTTTTTGCACCTTCCTTTAAAGCAGTTGGTTCAGCATTTTGTTAGATACAATGAAAGACAAGTGTTCCAGTATTCCAACTCACTCATGTATGTCAGATTGTGTGGTGTTTGTTTTTTTTTTTACCAATGTTTTTGATCCAGGGTTTCATCTCTTAACATTTTTTCTTTGATTTAGGGTCAGATGAATGCCACTCCTGAGGTTTTTGCCCACCTTACCCATTTCCTGATGCAGTTAGCTAATGGAAAGCTGTGTGTCATCCTAGAGGTAAAGACTTTTGAAGTGTACTCCCAGGGGAAAGGTCTTTGTATTAGAGCCATATAGGGCAAGCCAGAAGCTAGGAAGTGAAACTTCTTAACAAAATAATTTCTTCTTTTTATCTTTCTTTTGAGAATTAGGAATGCAAAATTGGCTAAAATTTGACAATGCTCTTGTACATTAGAAGAAATGCATATCTTAAAAACTGATTTATTTTTTTTTAACTTAAAATTTTGAAACAGAGGAACATATGTTCATTGTTCAAAAAAAATATATCCTCCGTGTGTGTGTATTATGTTCAGTTCTTGTGAACAGTGACCAGTCTGCTGCTCTGGACAGTCCCAAACTCATTAAAATGTATTTAGTGAATAAGCTGCATTATCAATGTTTTTACAAGTATGTGTTACTCCAAAAGAGTTTAAAAAACCTTTAACCTAAATATACCCTTACTTAGTAATGGAGCCCTTACTAAATTCCCTCTTTTGAATAAAAGCCTCTATGCAAGCTCTTTTTTTTAAGAGCTCTCTTTATTTTTTAAACAATTAAAAATTTCTCCTCCTTTTGAAATCTAGATTTCAACTCCCTGTTTCTGCTGCATGTTAGAAAAATGGTGGCTTTTCAGGTAAATAAGTGTGTGGAAATATTACTGCCAACAGGGTCTCCAAGAGTGAACTGTTTATTGATTCACTTGACCTCTGTTTTGCATGACTTTTCTTCCATCATCCTTCTCTCCAGCAGGTTATTATAAATATTTCTGTCTACTAGCTGAAGTGCAAATAAGCATCCCATCCTAATACAGATTATGTGACTGCTCCACAGGTGGTATGCAGGAAGCAATCTATCATCTGCAGTCTAGCAGTCTTAAATCTGTCTTCAGTTGCTGTCCAATTTCTGGTAAACCATCAGGACAACCATATCTTACAAGTGTCAGGCTGTGGGAGATCTCACTTGTACAGACATTTTAGAGGACAGTGATAGTATTTGCCTTCTAAGGAATCTTCCACAGGAATTGCTGAGGGTGGCATACCATGGATAGGAATGGAGAAGTCACGTTTCCAGGGTTTTCATGGCAAAGTCATGACTGATTCTGAAATGAATCAAGCCATGATGAAGTGAGTTGAATCATGGGATGCCAGTGAAGTTCAGCAACTAGCCTCTAACACTGTTTTCATCTTGAAAATCATTGACTTAAATGTACTGGCATATCATCTTCTGTTTCTGTAGATTCAGATATATTTCAAAAGTTTTATTTATTTTCCGTGATGATATTCATATAGATATTCTAAGTACTAGTTCCTTAGGTGACACAAAATACATTTTTTCTAGGGTGGCTACCACTTGAAGTCATTGTCTGAATCAGTCTGCATGACTGTAAAAACTTTGCTTGGAGATCCTGTACCTCAAATAACTGGAGAAATGGCACCTTGCTTAAGGTAAGCATATGAAGAATTTTAAAATAACCCATGTGTTTATCAAAGAGATTACAGATATGCATGCTTTGAACATTTTGCTGAAGCAAGGTTTTAATATGATGCTTTATAGTATATTATTTTCTGCTTTGGAACTTGCTTTCCAAAAAGTCATCCAAGGTACAGTTTTGTATACTTTTGTTTCTGAAACTATTTCAAGTTGCGAGAACTTAATGGCTTATAATTTTATGCTATTTATCCTTGGGCCTTGTTATTCCGTAGAGATCCATCTCACTCAAGGCTGGGACAATCCTTCTGTAATCAAGGCAACACCAGTTAATAACAGCCAGTATTTGGGAAAGTGTGTAATTGCAAGGCTTTGTTCTTCAGACTCCAGAGCGACTTCAGCAATAGCTGGAGCTAACCTCTCTCTCACGTGTAATTGCAAGGCTTTGTTCTTCAGATTCCAGAGCGACTTCAGTTGCTGTAGTACAGCAATAGCTGGAGCTAACCTCTCTCTCATCAGTGAGAGCTGATGCTGTGCAGAGGCAGTCTTGATGACTCCTTGTGTTTCTGGAATTTGGAGCATCGAGGCCTGGGGTGCAAAAGCACTTGACTGTGTGGAGCTGTACTAAGATAATTAAACTTTGAGTCTAACTTCTTTTTGGAGACAGTACGATTGTGTTTGCACAGTAGCGAATCTGACCTAGTAAAGCATTCTGAACCTTGGGCCTGAATCAGTCCCACATCTAACAGCATCTTTCTCTCTACCTGTCTGTACCATCTGCTCCACATCGTCAGGTTCCGTCCTCAGTCTCTCTCCCACCTCAATAGTTGTCCTGTGCTTTTTTTCTGCAGTAATGTTCCGTATGCGTTTTGGTGGCAGCACCTACCAGTTGGCTGTGTTAGTTAAAACTTGGAGCTCAGATCAGTCATGGAAGCAGTGTAGATATATGCAGGCTGTGGGCACAGTTGGATTTGGTAAACTCTGATGGAGCAAAGCTGGTTATTTTGTTCCCAGCACATCCCATAGCCCCTGTATCACCTCTTTTTTTTTTTTTCTTTTTTCCCCTTCCCTCTACCAACTGTAGAATCTCAGGTTGCTATCATCTTGGGTAATAGAGAGTTGATTACATATTTATCCATTATACCAGTCCAGCTCCTGAAGACTTTATGAATAATCTCCAAGTACACAAAATTTGTCCTGGATTTAACATAACCTGAATTATGTCTGCATGGTAGCTAACGTACTAGGACCATTTGCCTGTAGTGCTGCAAATATCAGTGGTAACAAAAAAATTTCAACACAAAGAATAGCAGGCAATGTGATTTACGTGGTTCCTGAACAGATAGTCTTGCTTTTGAGTGAATCTAATTACATCTTTACATTGTGTAGATAAAATCTCTGACAGAGCAAAGACAGACTGGTGAAATCTTGCCTTTCCGGAAGTCAGGGATAGTGTGATTCCTCCAACAGCAGGGTCAGGATTTCACTTAATGTGTGTAAACGTGTACATACTGCATGTGTTCTTCACCTTTTTTTTTTTTTTTTTTTTGACTCTTGTATCTAATCTTTCCAAGCAATCTGCTCACTGACTCTCATTGTCTTTATCTTTCTGTTCTACATTCTTGGAAGAGACCACAGCTTGTTAATTTTCAATTGGATTTTTTGTTTTTGCTTTTTCATTGAGGTAAGTTGTGTTTCCTGTATTTTCATTAGTGCTGATACTGTTAATCGTGTTTCTTTTGTAGTGCTGTTGAATCTATTCAAAATGTGAGAGCAGCACATAAACCCTACTGGAAATGGTTGATGTATGAAGGTAATTACCCTTCTCTTCAAGCCAATGTGATTGGTAAATGGATTCATACAGAAATTCAAAATTATTAATACCAGTGGATTAAAATAATTGAACTACCAGTTATTAATCAAGTGACTGATGAAGCAGTGAGGCTTTATTCAAGGTCATGTCTTCAGCTGGTCTGAAAAGAACTTCTGAAGCCGGCCAACATCACACGAAAAAGTAGCACTTTAGTATCTTTGTTTTCCATGTGAAAAATATGGGCACAAGATTTATTATCATTTATGACCTTTTGCTAGATTGAAACAAACTTAGCAACACTAAAAAATAACATTTGTGGCAGGAAACATTGTAGCTAGTGCATGGAAATAAATATGCATACTATGATACAGATGTGCACTGTTTTGTAAATAAATGTAACCAAATATTAACACATTGCTTAGGAATTAATACATGTGAAACCCCTGCTTTTCTTTTCTCTAGACACATCATTTTTACAAAATTTGAGCACCAAATCACACCTACTAAAGAAGGCTAATCCAAATCCCTCCACAGAACATGAATCTAAGATAACTAACAACAATGAAACTGTCGAAGTAGAAAGATTTTTGGAACTGCACATGAAAAATATTCTATTTCCAATGCCTCCCATCAAAACAGCAACAACATCTAAAGGTTTAGCACATTTGCTCCCTGTACCCGTTCATTTGGTGAAGGAAATGGACAAAAATGAAATAAAAGCTCTTGTCAGGTTGGTCCTATCTATTTAATTTTCAATGTAATTATGAGGATGAGAGGTCTCTGTACAGACTGTCATCTACCTCTGTGTCTGCTGTGGTCATCTTTTTGGCCTTAGTCTACATGATTATAGCCAGAGTTTCTTCCTTTGGAAAAAGAAGACATTGGTGTTGGTTATCACTCGTAGCCTTGAAGTCTTTTCAAGAACTAATCAGAATACTTTTAGAGAAAGCTATTTCAATGGAGACAGAAGAGTTAGTGCAAATGTATTCATTTAGAAAGAGATTTTGCTAGGAAGGTGCCCTAAAGCTCTGTGTTCACTTTGTAGCTGAAAAAAATACCAAATTGGTCTGATTTGAGAGCTCAACTTTTTGTCTTAGTCTAATTTTGACAGAGCTCTATTTCCTGAATATCTTCAGACAGTTTTGTTTTCTTTCCAGTGCAGAATGGAAACAGATTTAGAGAGTGCAAGACTGTCAGGCAACAGTGTTGTCATCTTCCTGTTACAACTAGGTTTTTGAGAATCAATGTTTAGCACCTATACAAAATGTACCCTGTCAATACTAACTGCAAAGTACCATATCGGTGTCCTCTTCAAAAGCATTATTGCCTCTAACCTAGTTTTTCTTCAAATATTTTATTTTGCAGTGACTTTTACACAGATCTTGTGAAAGAGGACAGAACTTTGCTCTCTCTTGGCAGTACATTGACCATCCTAGACAAAATGCTTAAGAAGGAGGTAATAACAAACTGTTTTGATCTTGGGAGATCAGGGGGAGAGTTGGATTCCTCTGATTTTTTGCTTCTGCTATATTATTGTCCAGATACTAGTTACTGTGTAGTTCACAACCCCACTAATCTCAGCTAGAACGCTTAGCTACAAGAGTGAGTATGCAAGATGAGAAAACAACTATTTAGGGATAGCTGTTAACCCCAAGACATTTTTCTAATGATCTTTGGGTGAGACATTGTCCTGCTTTTCTGCAGTCACAGCATATGAGTCAATAAGAACCTTCTCATCACTCTCAGACATACAGGTGAGCCAGGCATTCACTCTTCCAGCTGAGGGGAGCAGAAGTTGGTGTATGAAGCACCAGGGAGCAGCAGCAAGAAATCTGAACAAGAAATGTCAAATCTTGAAATTTTTCCTGTTTCAGTGCACACAGTCTTGCCTTCTGTCTTTAGGAGGTAGGGTTTCCTTTGCATTACTCTTTATTAGAAGATGCCACGCTATGAGCAGCTGCACCCACTTACCATTATTTGTACAACAGTTTACTCAGAGTAAATTTTGATTTACACATGCACACCACAGCACCGCCACCCCCTCCTTTAGTGGAGCTTTTGAAAACACCACTGTATGCTGTGATTCTGAAAAGAGTAATTCCAGTTCAGCATTTTGATTCTTGCAGGGTCAGGAATGAAGAGAAGGCAGGCTTAGAGGGTGCATGTTTGTATTTATGTATAGAAACTTGGAGAAGCAAAGAGGAAGAACTGCAAACAAGTTAAGAATTTTGCATCATAATAAATCAGTCTCTCCCTTTGAATGAAAAGCTGTCTTTAAAGTACCAGGCCTAGGAGGAAGCGTAACTGCCAGAATGGCCTGCCTCTTCTAAGCCATCTTCTTGGTGTTGGAAGTCATGTATGTAGATCTTGGGGACAAATTTTTAACATTATGGGCTGTGCATACCTCTAGGAGGCCTATAAATAGATCCAAAAAAAATGGTAACTGACAAAAAGAAGTAGAACTTTACATGAGTTGCAGATGCTAAGATGAGCTTTTTTACAGCTGTCTTTCAACATAGCACTATACTTTTGAAGTAACAGAACAGCTCTTGGCATAATAATCAAACATGGACTTTCTGTAGAAAATGAATTAATAACATTTTCTTAACCCTACTACGATAGATCATTAATATACCTTTCACTGTAGCTTTGTTTGATACATATAAACAAGTAAAAATACAGTTGTTACAAATAAAAAATGAAAAGATCTTGCGCAGCATTAATTACTTCTGAATGAAAAATATATTTTGCAGGTATGCAATGGAATTGCAGAATCACCCACAGCTGCTGTTTCTGTTGCCGTTGCGCTAAGACATTCTGTTTGTTTTGGATTTCAAAGGTGAATTTGTATCTTTTGCATTTGGGGCCCTTTGACAAAATGTAAAAAAGAGATATTAAATGTGTGAAATATGGCAAATTGCCTTTGAAACCTTAATTTTAAAACAAGTAGCATCTGCGTATGCATAGCATTTTCAATATGTAGTACAGACAACATTGTATATGCCAGCAAAAACCTTTTGCCTTACCAAAGGCAAAACATTTGTAAGGATGACTGCTGCACCTAGCCTGCAGGTTCTTTGTCAAATTTCGATTGTCTTTGGCCTGAGGACGTTTTCTTAGTTTTGTTTTTTCCCCTGGGTATTTGGTGGGACAAAAGGAGTTCCCTTGAGCTGTCATAAATGTGTTTTTCTTTATACTTTCAATGGACCAAATTCAGAAACAATATCCATTCTTTTTTTATGCATCTAATCTACATGCAGACTCTTTAAACAAATTGCACTAATTGAAAAAAAATATTTTTAGATGTACATGTATGTATATTTTTATTTGTTTTCTGTAGAGTGCTTTGTGTGTTTGTTGGAGACATGCAAATCATACCAAACACAAAAGATGGGTGAGCTTTCTCTTTACTTAAGGGAGTCAAATCCTAAAGGCTTTGTAAATGTTTGTAAGTGTCCATATGTATGATGAAATCTGCATGAAGGAATCAGTCATGAGCTGATGTTCATTAAGTTTAGTGTGAGACAAAATACAAAATATCCCCAAAAGTATCTTTAAAGACAAACTGCTATTTCTAAATGCTACTTTATGAGTTTAGTGGTAGGTTTAAAGTATAATCCTTCTATATTGATTGAAATTTAGATTGTTATTGAAAATATAATTACCTCCTTTACTTTATTCTTAATTGTATAGGGTGTACTCCTATATCTGCAGGGAGCACATACTGCTGATGTTGAGTTCCTTATTGATAGTCATCTTTATCTATAACTTTTTTTGCTACTTGCCTTTTTTCTTAAAAGTAATTTTCCCATAGTCTTTAATACTCTTTTAAAAAAATACCTTAAAAAGTATTTCACTTTTAATTGGGGTTTATGTTATGGCGTGTAGTAATGCAAATAGTTGTTTTCTCCTGTGTTATGAATTAGTATTTAAAGAATGATGAAAGAAAAGATGTTTTTATCTCATTGGAAGTTGTTGGTTTAATACTCAGATGTGGTTTTTATTTACAGAAAAATACTCATGATACATATTTGTGAGAAAGAACAGTCTGGAAAGACCAGCTCCAAACACTATATTTCTCTAAACTGGAAAGAGGTAAGATTCACTTCCTGGAAACAACACAAGAGAAAAACTTTTTAAAACAGAAATAATAGAATGTATTTACAAATTCATAAAATGACACTGAGAATTACACCCCTCACTGCAATTTGGACCTTTAAAAATATTTCCTTTTCTTGCTCTTGTCAGGGTACTACTCCTTCATGCATCTTTAGAGTGTATTAGAATGCATAGGTTTGAGGAAACCTTCAGTAGCTGCTGTAGTTCATCTTCCAGAAGGCAGAGTTAAGAGTGCGAAGACACTGAGGAAAAGATTAATAATATGCATGTTTAATATAAAAATTACTGTGAAAATAGATCAGTATCCTGTTTCCCAGGCCAATCAAAAGCTTCTGGAGATTCACCATACTGTTTTGTTTTATATCTGGGAATTTGGGCTTTACGTTTGTGCTAAACAGTTTCTCATTGTTGTTAAAGGATGCTGAAGGAAATGACTTCTTTTCTGCTGTACTTGGATTCATTCTTCCTGTAGCATACAGTTATCAACCTAACTTGACAGTAATAGCTGTTGGACCAAACAGGAGCCTTGGAATAAGTGGGATTTCTCTGCTTTTTGCTTTACTACGAGGATTAGCAGAGTCTCGAATTTTTGCAGTGATTGAGGTAAGAAGTGGTGCTAAGCTTTGATGCTTCAAAGTGCCTAGGACAGAACTCAAATCAAGCAGCAGCACGCTTGGTATGAACTGCTTGAAGCTGCCCAGTAGAAAATGTTAGCTGTATCTATACTGTCTTTGGTACTCCTGAGTTCATGATGCAAACAGCCCAAGTTTGTTTCTGCCCTGACAAGACAAGACACAGATGCGTACTGAGCTGTAGGCAGCCTGCATGATTGAGAAGCTGAGGCATGAATGCAAGCCCATGGTTATGTCTGTAAACAGTAGAAGTTCTATTTGTCACAACTTCCCTTTCCACCTGGGATTCACAGCTCAGAGCTGTCTCTTTTTAGGAGACACCTGTTGTCTGTTAATTATATGGCCTCTTTCCATCTAATGTGATTGAAAGCAGCCCATTGTCCTGTTTATCATAGAACACTATGCTTCCTTTCCTTCTCTCCACCATGCTGTACTTCATCACACACAACTTCCATCATGCAGAAGATAAATCAAAATGGCACATACCCTTTAAGTGAGCTTAATTGCTGTAACGTGTAACTGAGGACCAATTCATCTGAGCTTTGTGTTTCTGGTAGAGAGCATGGGAAAGGAAATACAGAATATATGGATCATTCCCTAGTCTAGTTTTTTCCATACACTAGCACATTAAGGATTTCTAAATGTAGGAAGTCGGAGGCTGTATCCAGACCAGTGTGTGATAAGTGCCAGTGAGCGTATCTTCCATGAATTTGTCTAATCTCTTTAAGAACTTGACTTAGGCTCTAGGGCTCTGCAGCATCCTGTGGCTGTGAGTGACTCAATTTTTTGGTGTGTTCTGTGAAACAATAACTTCTGATTGCTTTGGTGCCTTCTAGTTCTTAATGAGGAACAACAAATAATTGTTCACATATGCTTATTCTAATCTCTTCCCCAGCAAGTATCCAATTAAAGATATATTATTCATTAAGCTGACGATTAAGTGGATTTTGACATACTTTATTCTGTAGTTTTCTCAAATGTTATTTAATTTACAGTGCTGATTTGTAAATTGTCTAAAATAATTTGTACATTGATATGCAGTATACAAATAGTGCATTTGCACATTACTAATTAGGAGTATGAAATGGAAAGAATTATTGATATTCTGAAGGGTGAACTCAGAGATACAAAGGAAGTTAGGCATACATCTTTAAAAAAATTACTAATACTTTCATATTGGTACTCTGCGGGTAGCTCCATAATGGGATTATGTAATGTATGGGCATTTTCTAATGCATGTCACTGGCTTTTTAGAATAATTGAAAAAATACTTCTATCTCTTAAAAATAAAATAGATGGTAACTCTATCAACGCTACAGAATATAATTTCTGTGAGGAAATGATACTGATTCAGACTGTCAGGAGTCAAAAAAAGTCACTTCCTGATGAAGCAAAATATATCACTATTTTCCACTGATAGAAAGTAAATGATGCATGAAGTAAACAAGCTCCATGTTCCCCTTCCCTCGTAACATTTTCTACCTTTAACCCAGATTTATTTCTTTTCAATCACAAAAGGAAAACTGAGATTGTTTCTCTATTTGAAAGAAACAAGTTTTACAAGAGATAAAAGTTAATTCATCTTTTTCAGAAAAAACTTCTCCATTTTGACATTGTTTTAAATATTTCATGTATTACTGAAGCAAAGAGAGTTTGGTTCCCAGGAGTATTTTTTTTTTTCCTTAAACAGGACACAGAGATAAACTTAATGCAAAGTGTAGCCAAAGCATTAGTGAGTGCTTCTACACCTCACTTTGGAGTTTATGTACCTCCTACCCAAGAAAAAGTAAACAAAATAAAAATATTAAGAGAAAAAAAGCAGGAATGGAAGATGCTTCAGTGTTCAGGTAAGTTGTCTATTTTTATCTTTAGTTCTTATTAATATTGCAAGTTTCTGAAAAGATGATAAAATACTGCTGGATCCTGTAAGTCAGTGGGATAGTAAAGTCAGTGGGAGCACATTGATCTAATGTGAAAAGGATGAAACTCTGAATGCTTTTAATTCTGCCACTTGAGCCAGAAAGCACCGAATTTCATAGCATAATAACTGTGCCCTTGGGAACTTTGAATACTGTTACTTCAAAATTTTGAAATGGAACTACCAAAATATTATGTGCTTGAAGAATGGTTAATAAGATGTGCACTGGCTCTGATTGCTGATGTGTTTTCTGAATATAGTGCCAAATCAGGTGACATTTTTATACATTTAGGTTGTCCACAAATAACTCAGTGGTGATTAGTCATGCTGAAAGGACATTCACAAGCAGCTGAGGATCAGGTACTGCATTTGTATAGGAATCAGGCGAGGCAGGTGTGTATTTTCAAGCTTACTTGTCTAGAAACATTTATCTACTGAGTAACTTCTGTTTTTCAACAGAAAAAGCAATGATAAAGGTGGGCATTTCTCTCTGAAAGAAAATGCCCTGCTCTCTTTCAGAAGAAATGGCCAAGAGCAGTGGTCTGGTTCCAATAAAAATGTTCTTATGGGATTAGGAATTGTGGTATAAGCGTGATTAATAACTGTTTTTGCTTATTGCTGTTCATTTCAGTGAAGGCTGGGATTTCAAGAAATTGACTTCACTGCAGAATCATTTTACACCAGAAGAAAACATGTTGCTGTTCATGTTGCCTTTCAAATAATCAGGAAAAGAGATGGTCAATCTCTAAACAGAGTAAGAGCCATTCGCAATTATCTCCTGTTTTTAGAATACTTAAAATCCATATTTTCAGCTAGAGAATTGTGCTTGCAAATTCTGTATTGGCACTGATTATTCAAGACTTGAAAGCAACTCCTGTACTTCATTACTGCAAATTGGGGCCTGTGTCATTTGTGACATTGTAAAGTCAGGCTTGCATGTGCAGTAGCTTGACTTCATGAATGTTGAAGAAGTCCAGAAGACAGGCATCTGAAATGAGCAATCATAATAGCCAAAGCGTTTTAATATTACTTAACAGAATACCAGAGTGCTTGCACTGCTGCCACCCCCACCATTTCATTGGGAGTTTAAACTTAACAACAGGTCCTTCAAATTAATGAAACTTCATTTCATCATCTGATTTAAAGGATTCCCCTAACATGGTCTCTTCTTTTACTTTTTCTAATGAGAAATTGTCAATTGCGAGAAGAAAGAAAAGCAGCTGAACAGCTATAGTGTACGCATTGCCTATGTCATACCTGTGATGATTCAATTTAATTTCCTGAACTATACAGGGCATGAGAGAAAAAAGAAAAATATTTTGCATCTATAAAATTACAAATACATAGTTGAATAAAGCAGTGTAAAGAGGACTTCACTCTCCTCTTTTCAAATGTAAATCATCTATATAACAAATAAAAATCCAAAACCCCCAGAGACTTGGGAGTGGCCTCAGGCTGACATCATGTGAAGTCTCAAAACTAAACAAACATCCCTAGGCAACAGCCTTAGTATGCCTTGTTTTGCAGCATCCCAGGTATGATTTAGGGCTCATTTTAAAGAGCACTTTTCTGTGATTGTGACTTCAATAATGTGACCTTTTGATTTCAAACACTTCAAATTATGATTATACTGGTGTTGCTACTGGGATCAATGTTACATAATTTGAATAACTAAATCTGTCTTTGCAGATACTTCTCTTTTTATAACTGTTCCCAGTGATTCCCTTCTTGTTCATACCAGTTTTCAGTTATTGCTGGATGGGAAATGATACCCAATCCTTGCACATTTTGAAATGAAAATCTATTTCAGAAGAAACCAAAAGGCATGTCAAACATTTTCACAAACAGAAGTTGACGAACATAAAGATGTTCTGTTTGTTTGAGAATTTCTTTAAACTTAACTTCAAACTCCAAAAAGTATTTACTTTAGATTGGAAACTGGGCAACAGCCAAACTTTAGCTTCAGAACTTTTCAGAACAGCAGATTTGTTGGTTTATTCTACTCTCGCCCCTGAAAAAAAAAATGTGGTTTTTTTTTTTTTTACAATTCATCATTTTCAAGGAAAAAGCATTTTCTCAGAAATAGCTCATTCCCTTCATTCAACTGAATTTCTGCAGTGTTTGAATCATACAAATGTTGTGTTTTGCTATGTATTTTTCTAAGATCTTGATCAAATTTATTAAAACATTAATTAAGAGGGAAAAACGTGTACTCTTGGTAGAATTAGTTTGCAAATACCGTGCGAAGACGGCAGTTCCATTCTGCGGCTGGGGACGCAGTACGAGCGTGGTTCATCGCCTTCTGGCAGTAGCGTGTCGCTTCTTATAAAGTGAGTGGTGACGTTAAAAGTAAGTATCGCAGGAATGGTTTCACAATGGTGCGCTGTCTAAATCGGCGGTTTACGTA